AACCACACCACTCAATAAGGTCAGAGCAGAGGGTCTGCAGCCCATACAGCTGTCTGGAGGCTAAAGGGCTTTAAAATGGATGGACAGGAGCTTTTTTGGACCAACAGTATCACCTCTGGATCAGAACACCTACAATTAACACAAGGAAACCTCTGTCACCTTTCCGGTTTTCTCTTACCAGCTCGTACAAGCCCAGATTTAAGGAAAATCGATATTTGTTGTTTTAGAAATTTAATTCAATTTTTTATTTTTATTTTGGAGGCTATAGTCTGTGGTGCTGTTTAATTATTTTGCCTTATTATTATAACCTTTAATTAATGGAGATCTTTTTTGCAGGGGAAACTTGAGTACAGTAGAGAAAAGGAAAAACAGACATATCCAAATTTCAAGTGTTCATAATATTTGTCTACTCTGTTTACATCACTGAGGGTGAAGGTAAATATTAGAAATACGGTACCTCTCTCTCTCTCATTTTTCTACTTTCCATGTGTGCCTGCTGAAGGAACACAACTGTTGCTGCTTTCCTTGTTACTCTGATTTCTAATCTCTATTTTCTTATTGGATATACTTGTAGCTGTGTGACATCAGTAAGCAGAGCACCTGCAAAGAGACAGCAAATGACCCCTTCTGGGGGTGAAGTTCAGGAGGGACATGTCGACAGGCTTCATGGCAGAGTTTGGTCGGGATAACAGCTGGCCACTGTTGGAATTCTGCACCTTGTTGCACCAACCAGCTTCTTCGCCTGGATTAGGGCTTTGCCGTCCATCTGTCGGGCGTTGGCTTACATTTAAGCCCTGCCATTTCACAGACCCGGCTGCAGCCAGCAATCCCAACAGGAAGCTTAGCTTCTCAATGACACAAGGGTAACCTCTCTCTTGAAATTCAGCTAGGCAACATTATAGCAGTGTGAAAGTGAGCTTACTTGGGGAGCTAAAGGTCAGACACTCCTGGTTAAGATGGATTTAGCCAAACTGAGGCTGTCAATATGCGTGTTCGGTGTTATAATTCCAAGCTGCTACTTATTATAGAAGGCCGAACCCATGAGCGTCTGAAGAAGCACGTTAACTGATATTTAACTCATAATCTCAGCATCTTTTTCTCTCATCATACACAACTGAGCTAATTAATTTGCAAATGATGAAACATGATGTAATGTGGTGTTATATGAAATTTAATACCAAAAAAAGACATCCTGCGCCTTTTGAACTTGTTACATCTACTTAAAGAAGAGATTGGAGATAGGGGCATCTACTTACTTCTAAAAAGTCTTGGAAATTCTTCTAGGATAGACTATCAAACAGTACAGTAAATAAAATTCAGCAGCTGGGTCCGTCCATTCCGGATTAGCCCGGCAGCTGACTAAGCAGTTTGCAAAGGAATGGGCTTTAAAGGCTTTTAACACTTTATGCTTCAGATAACGTCAGCATCTAAAGGATTTCCCAGAAGCTTACAGGTATTTAACTATGGTATTTAACAAGGCTCAGGAGTGATGTCATGTGACAGGTAAACTAAAGCTTCGGGCGATGGTAAGGTCTTAACAGCCCAACTCCCCACCTATGTTTGATAGGGCTTATTGTGGAGAACTTAATGATGATGGACAGCCTCATTCACAGGCAGGGAGTAAGATTTAGGGGAGTGATAGCAGATTGTATGTGAAATCTACATGTGGACAAAAAAGCAATCAATAGCTTACAACAAGTGGGAGCATTAAACCTGTTAAACGCGGAGCCAAATGGTTTAAATAAGGTCCGTCAATAGAATAGTGATCCCTCTGAAACAAGAACAACCTCAGATAGTGGATTATAGTCACAGTTCCTCATTTGAGACTTGAATGCTCAAAATTGGTTAAAACCTATCCAATAAGTTTGACCTGTTGATAACAACCTGGACAAGAGGTAATGTGACAGCGTGATCAATTAACCCTCACATGGTTATTTTGTGCAAAGGGACAGTAGAAATTGTACTTGTCATCCGTTTAATTATGATTTTACGTCCATTGATGAGATGGCTACTCCTGTGTCGCTCTATTGTAATAGGAGCATAGGGCACCATCCACTTCCAGATATGAAGCAATATCTTCAGCATCCCAGTGGATGCTGTCATAAAGGCATTAATCTCACCATTCATTGATCTAGTTATTACTGGTCTTGGACCAGTGGGTCCTCATTTATTGAGCACTATTGTCTTACTTCTCCTCGACCACATTCATTGCTTTTAGAAGCACGCCCCCCCCCTCCTCTTACTTCACCTCAATTAATGTAATTCTCTGGGAGCTCACTGGAGTGCTGATTGGAATGAAGAACTGCATTCAGACTACAAGCCTGTGAGGGAACGATAACACCAGATCATTAACAAAACAGAGCTGCAAATGTTTACCCATGGATGGCATCCATCATCTTAATGTTTCCCTGTCTTTACTTGCTTCCCTGCATATCTGCCGCTGAAGCCATGTGCAGTCAGTGTCGAAGCTGCTGCTGGGAGGAAAAAAGACAACAACATGGGAACACAGTTTGATGTGATGGAAAGATAGTTAAAGCTTTAGTAGCACTGTCTCTTTATAATGGATCCAAAAAAAAGACAGATTGATACGATTAATTAAGTGCAGTGTTATTCTTTGGGCATTTTGACCCTGTGTAGAGGACTGTGAGGACTCATTGAGATGTCTGACTGGGATCCATATCCTACTGAAGTTGCAGTCACCGAGCTTTACCAATAAGGGATTACGATTTGATCATTTTGCTGATTGGGTTTTGGTGTCACTGGTAATAAAGTTGGCCGTAATAGAATCTCATTGACTGATATCCAATATGTGATAGCCAAAGGATAGAGGGTGACAGATGTAATTGAGCTTGTGATAAGGCCACTCCTTCATCTTAGGTATCTTAGCATGCCATACAAAGCCCCATGCTTCTCCATCTCACAGCTCTCAGCACTGACTTGATCAATGTGGGTTGAGGAATAAGAATGATTAAGTTTAGCTGGAGGCAGCGAGGGGCACATTGGACTCTGGTGCAGGCCTCTGATCTCAGACGCACCATCATCTCTGCCTGTTTTGAAATCACTTGGTTTCACTTGATTACAGATGGTATCATCGGTTCCCCAATCTGAACTTTGACCTTAGAGGGAATAAAATGAAATTGAGTCAAGTAAATCTGACCCATAAACTCCCTTTTTTAGATGAGTCTGATGTCCAGTTATAAGAAAAAGTTTTTAGTGGTGACCACAATGGTAGTAATTTGTGACTTCATAATTAACTGTCAACCATAATCTCACAGATTTCTCCCCCCCCTCTAGAGTCTCAATCTGCCACATGTAATGAAATCAGCTGAGGCACAAGAAGGGTGCATTATCTGTGTTCACAGCACTTTTGTGAATCAGGAAGAACCACCTTGTAACCAGTTCACAATCGACCCAAAAGACACATTTAAAGCGAGAGATGAAACTGCGCACCACTGGCAAAATTCTATGTATTGTGACAACAGCCATCACACATAGACAGGAGCCCCCCTGAGACATGTCTTAGGATGAGTGTGAATTAAATGTGAAGGATTTTGTTTTCTTTTTCTTTTTTTTTCTTGCACGTCACCATGTCATTGAATAACAGTCCAACCCCATTTGCTTTTGTGTTGGAAATACTTCCTTAAAACCTAAATCTAAACCTAAATTTAAGTGCATCTGCCTTTTACTACTGGAACCCTCATGCAACTAGTATATCAGAATCATTGTCTGCAAATCAAACTATTAATGATGCTTCCATTTTAAAAATGCACTTTAACTGGTTCCATCATGTTTTTTTTCATATATCTGGAAATTCTGTTTTGATAAACTAAATTGTTAATTGTATTGTAATGGATTGGGGTGGAGGGACACTAACAGATGGTATTGAAATTAAATATGTTTTTTTCAGTCTTAAACCCTGTATTTATCTCTCTGTATCCAATTCCCTTGTTGTGTGTGGTCTATATTTTATCATAAAAGATTGCGTGAGCCAAGTGTCCACCCCAGCACATACATCACACTTGCCGCCATCCGTCTTTGATTGCATCCTCCTGCTACTGCTGTTTCACACCCCACTGTTTTTCTAACTTGCACAGCAAATTCAGGCTGGAAGCACGAAGAAAAGTGTGGGGGTTGGGAAAAAAAAAAAAAAAAAGTCTTCGTGGTACCAGCACAAACTCCAGATGTGTTCAGCAGATGTGTCTGTGGCACAGCATGTATTGGATTACCGTCTGAAAAATGCTGTTAATTCCACTTGAAGCCGCGCCCCTTCACTTCATATCAGGGTGATAGCATTGACTGATTGATCGTCTGCAAGGTGTGCAGTGGAAATGGTGCTCAGCATTCCACTGCAGACACAATGAGGGTGCCATGCGGGACGTATGTAGATTACTAGAACTATTTGGCCTTTGATTTTCTAGCAAGGATCAGTACTTCCTCTTCTATATCACAAATAGGTCTGATAGAAAGCTTTGCATTTACAGCAGCAACTTGCATTTGAAATACCTTTTGAAGCTCCATGCACAAAGTGAACCATGCAGAATTCAAAACTGTCAGCACTCTCAATTATGCAAACACATACCTTATTCCTTGTAACCGCCCATCTTTATTCATCTTGCGTCTGTGGCATGAATATTGCAGCAGGATTCCTAGTCTCTGTTCTGTTAGGAAGTGTGTCACATGAGACTGGCATCCTTTTAGCACTTATTATTGCTGAACTAACTGGCATTAAATTGACACAGTGGCCAAAGGAAAGTGTCCTAATATAGGTTCATATTGCTGTCATTTCACACTGCTGACCTCGTGTCCACGTGATGTGAAATTCATGAATTTAGCGGAAAACTGCATATTTGAATATTAGCCCATAGCTCAGTGACATCAAATTAACCTATTTTGAATTTTCTCCTGATGTCCTCCATGTTTGAGCTGATGTATCTATATGTTCTACAAGCTGTAGATTAGATTCGAACTAAATGTTCCGCCTCGTCTTTGTGTCTCTCCAGGTAACCGATAAGATGGTGGCCGGGGAAGCGACCGGGCACAGCTACCTGGTGGCTTGCTGGCAGCCCATTCTGATCCTGATGCTGGGCACTGTGCTGTCTGGCTCCACCACAGGCTGTCCCTCCCGCTGTGAGTGCAATGTTCAAGAGCGCTCTGTGATGTGCCACCGCAAGAAGCTCATGACGGTTCCAGAGGGCATTCCTGCAGAAACAAGACTGCTGGATCTCAGCAAGAACCGCATTAGAACCATCAACCCAGACGAGTTTGCCAACTTTCCCAACCTCGAGCACCTGGAGCTCAGTGAAAACACGATCTCCACTATTGAACCTGGAGCGTTCAACAACCTTTATGGCTTGCGGACATTGGGGCTGCGCAGCAACAAGCTTAAGCTGATCCAGCTCGGTGTCTTCACAGGCCTGAGCAATCTCACGCAGCTGGACATAAGTGAGAACAAGATTGTCATCCTGTTGGACTACATGTTCCAGGATTTGTACAACCTCCGGTCTTTAGAGGTGGGTGATAACGACCTGGTTTTCATTTCCCACCGAGCTTTTCATGGCCTAAGTAGCCTTGAGCACCTGAGTCTTGAGAAGTGCAACTTGTCCACTGTGCCAACAGAGGCTTTTACCCACCTCCACAGTTTGATCACTCTCAGGCTTCGCCACCTCAATATCAATGTGATACGGGATTACTCCTTTAAACGGCTCTATCGGCTCAAAGTGTTGGAAATAGCCAATTGGCCATATTTGGATACGATGACCCCAAATTGCTTATATGGATTAAATCTCACCTCCCTGACCATTGCAAATGCCAACCTGACCACAATTCCTTATGTAGCCCTGCGGCACTTGGTTTATTTGCGCTTTCTGAATCTTTCATACAACCCTATCCACACCATTGAGGGGAATAAGCTCCATGATCTTCTGCGTCTGCAGGAATTTCACCTGGTGGGAGGCAGACTGGCAATGATTGAGCCCTACTCTTTCCGTGGTCTAAACTACCTGAAGATTCTCAATGTGTCTGGGAACTCTCTTAGCACTTTAGAGGAGTCTGCTTTCCATTCAGTAGGCAACCTGGAAACCCTCGCCTTGTATGATAATCCCCTGGCCTGTGACTGCCGACTGTTATGGGTTTTCAGACGACGTTGGCGACTGAACTTCAACAGGCAGCAGCCCACCTGTGCCTCTCCCGAGTTTGTCCAAGGCAAAGAATTCAAAGACTTCCCGGATGTTCTGCAGCCTAATTACTTCACGTGTCGCAAGTCCAGGATTAGGGATCGCAAACCCCAGCAGAAATTTGTCGACGAGGGAGCCATTGTTCATTTTGCTTGCCAAGCAGATGGAGATCCTGCTCCGTTGATAATGTGGCTATCCCCGCAGAAAAAGTTCATCACCACGAAGACAATTGGAAGGCTCTCTGTGTTGCCAGACGGTACCCTCGAGGTGCGCTATGCCCAGATTCAAGACAATGGTACATATGTGTGTATAGCTAGCAACGCAGGCGGAAATGACACCTCTCTTGCTCACCTGCACATTCATAGCTACTCGCCTGACTGGCCGCACCAGCCCAACAAGACTTTTGCCTTCATCTCCAACCAGCCCACAGAAACTGGTGCTAATGGCACAAGAGCCAATGTCCCTTTCCCATTTGATATAAAGACGTTGATCATTGCGACCACAATGGGCTTCATCTCTTTCCTCGGTGTCGTCTTGTTTTGCCTGGTGCTGCTCTTCCTCTGGAGCAGAGGTAAAGGCAACACTAAACACAACATTGAGATTGAGTATGTGCCACGGAAATCGGACGCTGGCATGAGCAGCAGCACAGTGGATGCTCCTCGCAAGTTTAACATGAAAATGATTTAACGGACGGAGTTGTGGAATTTATTCATTTTGAACTTCAAAATAAGACAAATGGAAAAGAAGACATTTTCTTTCCTCTCTTACAAACCTGTGGATCCTGGTCTGTTAACATAGAGTAATATGTTTTTTCCTGACTGAAGGACTAGAGAGGAGGGCAGTCCCTGATTTCCTGACAAGTGAGAGGGAATGAAAGCTCACCCAGTGCTAAAGGGCATTGGTGGTTTCTACATGGCCTGTGGGGGCATTAATTGAAAGTCAGATTTGTCATAAGCAGTTCATATTCCTGTGGATTTATACCTGGAAAAATATATCAGAAAAGAAAAAAACACTTCAAACAGCCAGAATGCGAGGGGCAGATCATATTTCGGCCATTGCTGTTTTTCTGTCCGTATTTTTTTCATTTAGTGTTTTGTTTTTTTATTTCCAAGATTAGATGTCAAGTTATGAATGAGATTTGTATGGGTTGATGAGCACATTTATACAACTTGGATGCATTTCTAGTACATCATCGTTACAATACATCAGTGTTGCAATTGTGAATGCTATGTATGTGCTACATATGGTCTTTTTTCCCCACAGTGATGATTGTTCTGTGATCCATCAAATATATATCTGTGTCACGATACCTGATGAACTTTGTTGAAACTGTATGCCCCAGCAACTAGCAGAAATACAGAACTTAGTATGGCACAATTATAATTATGGGAAATACATAACTGTTAGTGATTTGCAAAACTTAATTTGAATGTTACAATAACTGATTGGTAGCCATTTTGTTGACCCAAGAAAGTACAATAAATGGTACTGTAATACAGATCACCCTGGTCATAATGTGACCCGCAAAACTGAATGATATACAAAAATAAGTGCTCTGAAAATGTGTCCATTCAGCAACATAGGGATGCATCAGTGCAACTTCTACTGTTGATACCAGTTCCCAGTCCTGCACTGTAAAAAATCAGCCAAAAGTGTGTAAGAATAATTGCATTGTTAGAAAGGTAAATGTGACAATATTTAGTTTTGAAAAGTAGAAGAAATACAGTTGTTAAATGTGTCTCTTAATATAGGATTCTAGCATTGAGGAAATGCTCTAACATTGCCGTTTGAGCCCAGTATCTGATATCAGTGTCAATCATCCCTAATTTCCAGATGTAACCCGCAGTACACACACATGGATTGAGGGCATGATACACAGGGAAATGTGAGATGTTGTTGATATGATGCTCTGTAACAACAACAGATGCAGCATCTATCCCAGGGATCAGCCATCAAACTGAACGGTTGGGTTTGGTACCTTGATACTATAAAAGCTTATCCCTGACCTTTTAAATTGCATTCCAAAAAACTATTATGTAATGGTATTATTTTGTGCTCAACATGATTACGAGGAATAAAAGTTGTGGTGCTCACCTTTTCTGGATAAAATGTGCTCCTCAAGCTGTAGAATATTTCTTTCATCGTGGGTTATTTTTCTTGATTGTTTTACGATATCAACAATTTACTTATGCTCCCCCCACCCACCCACCCATTAAAGCCATGGAAACATTACCCAACAGGATCATTTACAGGTTTGCTATTCCCCATAAATGTGCATTGTTTGTCAAGGGGGAAAAAAAAAAAACTGCCGCATATTATGCTCTGGGTTGGTCCTGCATATAAAATGTGAGGTCACAGCCTTACCTTTTCAAGTACACACTGTGGACAGCTGGGCTTCGCAAACGTGTGTGAGGATAAAGGCTAAGTCATTTATGATGGATGACATTACAGACAACGACACAGTAATGGGCTGGAAGTATGGACTGAATATGCAGATGGTTGGAGTGACACAGATGGTTTCACCCATGGAGCAATCAGAAGCAGCTTTGGTGTAATCCGTTTTGCATAAAGGAAAAAAAAACAAAAAAAACACTGGAAATGGCTCATGGTTCTCCCTCTTGCTGATTATGAATGCTCTCTTCGTTCAAAGTGTGGCTACTGTACCTAGCCTTTTTTGGCCCCGAGTGATCCCGGGATTCTGTTTTTCGTTTATGTTATTCCTTCTTTTTTTATTTTGACCCTGGACTATATTGACCATGTAGTCCAAGCCAACTTTTTACAAAAAAAGATACTAAAAAAGAAATCTATGGAAAATACATTCAAATTGTTCTGTGCAATAAAGGTAATATGCAGATTTTTTTTTTTAATTAACAAAATTTTGTTGATGTTGAATTGTTGAGAATATGGTATGTTGTATTAAACAATCTATGGACTTTTTTAAACACATTATGGTCCTATCTTGATTTTCAAAGGTGTGGTTAGTAAGGCCGTGACAGTCTTTAAAATGGCGGCTGTGTATCTGTGGGGTTTTGACTGACGATAGTTTGCACCAATGACACGATTACTTTTCCGGGTGCTGAGATATCTTACTGTGAAAACTCTTATTTGTCATTTTTGTAAAACTGTGACACCCATTGTAAGCTCCCAGAATCCCACTGATCTTGTTACAATTTCTTCATCATTGATAGATTTATGAAATAAACCGTAACACCCCTTTAGTGCTTTGCTAACCACGCACAAGCTGAAGTCTAGCTGAACGTGTGCGTGTAATTTTGGTGTATCAATGACTAAATGAGCAATTTAATGTTTGATTCCTTTGACTGAATTCCTCATTAAATGATGATGCAGACTGCAAGGTAATTTAACATCATGTTTCAGTGCTAATTGCTTGTTTACAGGGAAATTGGTAGTTCACTTGTTCACGTGCCTGGCCTCTAAACATTAATTAACCACCATTAGTAAAGGATCACAAACATTATGATATGTATAGAGGATATTTTTAATTTATGAGGCACATTTATAATCTTAAAGAGACAAAGATGATAAAAGCAATTAGTTAATGAACCTCCAAATCAAACAAAAATGATCTGTTTTACATTGAATAACTGTTTTATTTTGGGATGTCTCATAGCGAAACATGAGCAAATTAGGTTACCCTTTGAAGGTTATGGGAAATGACCAGGGATATGACTAGGACAGCCTAGTTTCATAAAACATTGGGCTGCTCTGCATTAAGTTTGGATCTCTGTCCCAATGCTTTTTATTTCACATCCTTGCTGCCTTGGTGGGGACTCCTCGGGGACTTTTGGCGTTCTTTTTTCCCTCAAGCTGTATCAAAGCATGCTCATTTATCTTCTGACTTGAAAACAGACAGGCAGAATAGAAGAGGAGTGAAGCTATTCTTGAGGCCTCAGAGCCCCTGGGAGTAATGGAGACATCCATTGTTTTCATTCCTCAGATATTAGATCTGTGCTTAAAATTCTAGGTCAGGAACAGGCTGATGGATTCTGACACCGTGCGACGACAAGTCGCCTCTTCTCAACTGAGCATGAAAATACAGACACACCTCTGGGTGTTCCTTGCACTCATCCAAATACATGTGCTTAACAACATCTGGGAAACACTGCATGCAGGCCAACAAAAGTGTGAATTTGCTGTTGGCGGCGCCTCTGTCACATAACAGAAGCTTCAGACTCCTAAAATAAAAAGCAGTCACTTGAGATCCATGTTTGGATGTTAAATCTCTACTCATGGCAGGTCGGCTATTTTTCTCAAATCCATATCATATCATATCCATATCAAATGCTCTAATTAAAGCATTTGTTTAGGTCTCTGAGGTACAGTGTGTGTCTATATTATGCCCACTGTCAGTGTTGTGCATAAAAGCGTATGTTTTCGTGAACGCTGAACTGAACGAGAGTGAACGCCCCTCACGTTTTACGACAGTTTTACGGCACGCCGCATGACGTCTCCATAGACTCAGCCCAGCATGGCTGATGCTAGCGGTACAGTCGGTACAGACGCATTTACCACTGCTGAAGCTCGTTAGTTTGAGCATTTGAAGCAGTTTTATCAACAAATGTGAAGACTCAGACGGATTATATTTATACACGGATTTTAAATGTCAAGTCATGTCTGTGACTTCTCTGAAAAAAACGGAACAAATGGAAATGTGAACTTAGTTTGGAACCCAATTCTTTTTTAGTATGAACTGGCACAACATGCCCACTGTATGCTAATTCATCTATTTTAGACACAGTCAGTCAAAACCTACTGACAGTGTTTCACATACCTGGTGAACTTGTTACATCTCAGGCTAATCCCAATATTTAGCTAATGGAATAACCATAAGTAGACTGACTTTTGTATTTGAAATGCCATACATCTAATTTATAGGGCTTACATAACTAGGCAACTGCATCAAACAGCATGCTGTGTTTGTGTTACAATTAACGCTAGCCCTATCTACATATTTGGATGCTTTTAACATACCATAATGTCATAAGTAGATATACATTAACAACATTTTTTGTCAACTACAACCATTATTCATCCACAATATAATACAGTATAAATATTAAATAGAAGTTTTTTCTATGGTATGTGCAGTGGGAAGAACCACCAGCACATCCAGCATGTTAAAATCATGTAAACGTTACAGGACAAGCATCAATTCACGCATATATACTGTCATCTCTCAGCTACAGGTGCCTGAGGAGATTAACGAAGATCTAGGCCGTTTCCAAGTGGAAACACCTACGCACGACATGAGCCTAGTATAGGTAAAATATGATATACCAGCTTTCATATGTTAGTTTAAACACTGATATGCCTGTTATGCTAATGTCAAAAAAGCAGTGTGAAGATGTGATGGGATGAATTCAGCTTAGAGGGAAAGAACTTATCATGCTAAACATAGACTGGTGTGGTTGTTTAGAGTTTATTGCTTCGCTGCTGTAAAACTTTATCTGCTGCGGATTGTCATTTTCACGCATCATTAAGGCAAAACAGAATATAGCAACAATTTTCAAAAAAAAAAAAGAAACTTGTGTTAACTCTGACATCTGAAAGCAATTTCCCAGAAAGTCACACGTGGCTGCTTACTTATTTTACTTTTCTATGTGGATGGCTCACAGTATTACTTTTTGATTGGCGCAGTGTGTATTACAGAACTGAGGCATATTAAAACAACCTTGTTTGAAATCTCCTCTTTACATTTAGTTGTATTTTTTGCCAGGAAATTGTCCATAATTATCACCTCATTTCGCAAGGTGCCATATATTTCTGACATTTAAGCCGAGGAGATTTTGGTGGGATCTTTCCATAAAGATTACAACATGTGCTTTTTCAGTCATATCAAGCGAAGTACTTCATGTGCGGGAAAAAAGAGGAAGGAGAGGAGGATTAAGCAAATAGATTTAAATGTGTCAGATGTTCTCACACTGACTGTCGACAGGCTGTTATTACTTAATACACAGGGTACAGGCTTATGTGCAAAAATATTCTATAACTTTGCCCAGACAACTAATTCTTATGGCATGTTACTGTGATGTTTTGAAAGAACATATTAATCAAAGAATCCACTCGTTTTAGCACTGATATCTATGTTGAATCTGTCTCATACGGATGGTAAGGTTTCACTTCAGCAGTATTTCATATCATCAACCCGATGCAACCTCTCCAACATGAACCACATCCATACATATGGATATGATTTAGACACAAACATCAAATTCAGTATTTCAGCTTTGATGTGAACACAACAGACCACAGCTACTTCCTACTCCTGACAAAACCCTAAGGCTGAACACTTTGCAGTTCCTCTAAGGAGACTGGACACACAAAACAAAGTAGGAGTGTCTCATCTTGTTTCAGTGAAAGTCAAAAATCAAAGCAGCAACATCCTTTGTTCAGAAGCGAGTAGCAATGTGTCGGTTTCTGGAGGCTGTTGACTGGATTTCTCTTTTCAGGATTGTTGGGAAAATGGACATGACAGTTGATTTTGTTACCGACTCCCACTGACTGAATGATGAAGTTAAAGAGGCTACCATACCAGCCAGACAGCAGCAAGCCTGCGTTATATCATTGTTAGCTGGGACACTGCTTGACTGATAAAGGCCCAAGTCCCTTATGAATTTGTCCCGCCCGTCCTGAAGCGCATTTATTAGACGATTCCAAGGTGAAAATCACCTTGTGTTTACTTCAGGACCCTCAGTGGCACAGCAGATACTGGGACAGTACAGTAAACTATGCGATACAAAAATACATGTAAACATGAACTGCATGCGAGTACATAAAGTTAAAGCTATTTTTGAAACACATCCATAGTTGTTTTGTCTTGTTAATCACAGAATTTCTCAACTATAGTGTGATATCTGTTCATTTTTGACACATACACTAATGTGTGAAGCAGAAAATTGCAGTGGATTATTTCTGAAGTTAATATACATAATTTCCCTTCCCAGAAAAAAAAGTAATAATGGTGTCAACTCCCTATACATTTCCTCAACTATCCACAGTAATTACCATATCATTTGTGCAAAAGATGGTGTCTTGGTGGCTTGTCTATTTATATTTATGACAGAATATTCATAATATTCATATTAATATGCTTTAAGTTCAATAGGGGGTGAGACTTTGATCCTTC